AGGACCTCTCCCCCTCCCCTCCCCCAGGTCTCCTTCTCATCCCGTCTCCATTTTGCACATCCCCACACAAATCCCTTTCCCTCCCCTCTCCCCCCAGGTTTGGAATGAAATCATGGGGCTCTGAGTTCCGCACAAGGCCCCGACATAAACACTCTGATTGGGGCTAATTACAAGGGCCAGGTTGGGAGGCTGGAGCCTTCAGAAAGCTTGGCTTTCAAACAAAGGGCCCAGGGCTCAGCCCCCAGCCCAGGCCGGCTCCTCTCCTGGCTTCGTTAGGAATTAGGAGGGGTCCGGGGGCCATAGGCAGTCTTATGGATTAAACAAATTTCAGTCAATGGTCTCTGAGCTTGTTCCGTGTTCCAAGTTCCATCTTGTCTTTTCTTCAGGCCTCAAATTTCGGCCCTTCCCATATGTCTGTGGAAGAGACGCAAGTCTGCAGTGGAAGACTAGGCAGCTGGGGAGCACTCAGGCTGTGAGGCTGGGGATGGGGCAGAGCAGGGGGAGGGGGAGACACCGGGGAAGCCAGCTGTGACAGCCCTAGCCCTAATTAGCCAGCTTCAAAGCCAGCTGGAGAGAGAGCCCGCCTGCGTGTGTGCCCTGCTCACTCAGGCGGGTAAGACATTTCTGTCCTAATCAGAGGAGGGGGGGAGAAAAACACTGCCTGCCTCCACCCTGAGGAGCCTCTAGACTGAGCTGGCACCCTAAGTTAGGTAGAAAAACTGGGAGCACAAAAGATCATTCTATTCTGTTAAAACTACCAGTAACAATAAGTTAGAGTCCTTAAAAAAAAAAAAAGCACCTCCTTTGATCCAGTGATTCTATTGTATTTTTAGGAATGTATCTTAAGTAATTGGAAGAGTGCTACAATTTATTGAACTTCTATGTGCTAGCTCTGTACATGCGCCATCTAATTTAATCCTCACAACCCTACCAGACAGGTATGAGTGCCTTTTTACAGATGAGGACCGGGGCTCAGAGGTCAGGCTTACATAAAGGCTCAGAGCAGGCACTGTCTCATACCAAAGCCTGTGCGCTCTACACATGGCCGGTCTGTATGTCTCTTTCTCCTACTCTTTTCTCTCAACTACAAAAACATTACACATTCATTCCACTCTGCTCCGTCTAGATAACTTGTTACCTGGGAGAGAGACAGGATCCAGTGAATAATTTGGTTTGGAGTGTTCCTGTTTTGTAAGCCTGATGATTTGCCCTCCTGTACTCCCTTTCCATAGCAGAGGTGATTAGAAACAGGGGACACTGGAGTCTGAGAATGTATAAGCTGCCCCTTGGAGAAGTGGAGATACCCAGTTATCAGGACTAGAAAATGTCTAAACCAGAAATTGGAAAACTAGCTTGGGGTAGGAGAGGGGAGGGGGACACAGATAGATGGTCCATAAAACCTCTAAAGTCACATGCAAAATTCAGTGTTCACAGGAGTCTGGCTATTTCCTCCCAGGAGGAGGTCCCAAGATTGTCCAGGTTCTGAGATGGGTCAGTGGCCCCCAGTTTAAAATCCATTTAGAAGAGAGGAGGGTGAGTCTAAAGAAAGAAGGCACCCTACTCCAGTGAGCAGCTCTTGCTGAAAGGGACAGTGCCTCAGAATTGGTGGAGCCTGGGCTCAGCTTCCCCAGACAGGTGCCCCACGCACCCTGGGACAGCATCTCCACACTTCCAGAATCTGACCCTGATCTGGGGACCCCAAGACCCTCTTGGAATAATCTAGAAGTCAGCAGCTCTACATCCCACTGATCCTCACTCTTTGGGGGTGTTCAGAATTTTGTCTTGAAAAACTTGTGTCCTTTTCTGGGGCTGGCTCTTAAAGGACAGTCTGTAACTAATGGAACCATTTTCGGTGGGGTGGGGGAGGGGGAGAGGAAAAGCCAAAGTCTGATCTAATGAAGGAGGAGTCTGGGGGAGATGCCCTGAACCTTGAGAACCCGCAGCCTTGCTCCTTTGTGGGATACGGTGAGGGTGGGAGGGCAGGTAGAAAGCCGCTGTGGCCTGAAACCTTCCCCAGGCCTGGGACCTCAGGTAAAAGGCTTTCCCTCTGGGCCCTGGATCCCCCACTGAACAAAGCCTCACTCTTCCAGAGGGAGGCACTGAACTGCTTAAAACCTACCTACCCATAGGAAGACCTAGAAATCTGCAGAAGCAGACCTCCAAGCCTATGTGCTTAACTGAGTTTTTCAAACAAGGGAGTGGAGACCCTTCTCTAGGTGTGGCAGTGAGCTCCAGGTGGTTTACCTGTGAGTCTCTGCTCCAAGCACTTTCTCCCCTAAATTCCCCACTCCGTGGGCTAATGCCTCCCTTCCTCTAAGAGTTATTTCACTAGAGCAATGAGAGCAGCCAGGGAGGGGCTTCCCTACTACTCTTTGTAAGGCTATCCCTTTGGAGAAGGGGAGGACATCTAGAAGACCTTTCCTTTCCAAGAGGCAATTATCATCTATCCTCCTCCCTCCACCATAAAACTTTTTTTTTTCTTTCAGTTTCCTTGGACCCTCTTCCCCTGTTGGCAGGAGATTTTAAGGAGGGGATTGAGAAGAATAATCTTTACCAAAATTCCCTCCCTTCCACCCCCACTCCGGGAAGAAAAGGTTATTATTGCTAGTTTACCATTTCTTCCCGCTGAAAGCATGGGTGTTCACTGAAAAATGAACCAAAAGCGCACAGAACTGGGGTGCTGGGGGCTTAGAGGTGGGGGAGGCTCCTCCCCAAATCTTCAATAGAGACCAGCACTTCTCTTCCCACTGGGTTCCATCCCAGCCACTGGAAAATCCATCCCCCACCCCCAATCACAGGCTTTCACCATTCTTTCCAGGAGAGGGACTCACAATTTGTTTGTAATTTAACTCTTTCCTGCAGCCCTTGTGGGGTTCCTTTAGAATCTTGCAACAAATGGAGCTACAGGACGGTGACACCTTCCCAGCCTGCTTCTTTGATAGTTGAGGGAATCTCAGGTTGGGACTTCATACACACATCATCATTTGAGAAAAAGCTAGTTTTAACATATAATGTTGGTCACCGGACACAAATGATTTGGAGGAAGGTTATATATTTTGGGAAGGGGGCTCTGCTGAAATCCCTAGACTTCATACAATTCCAAACAAAGCCCCACATACGACTTCAATTACCACCAAACATTTCCAGATCCCCTCCCCCAACATAAACTAACACACGCAAACACTGAAATAGGGGTCTAACTTACTTTCTCCCTCGTCCCAAAGACTGCTAACAAAGGGTGCTAAGACACCATTTCCCCCCATCACCATTTAGCTTAAAAAGCAGGGTCTGGGGCAGGGAACCTCTTCTCCTCCTCATCCCCAATCAAGTAGGTCCCGGGGAGAGGGAAGGAGGAGGTGTGGTTTGGTTAAACTAATAAAAAGTTACAACCCTGTTAAATACAATTAAAGGGCTAGATCGCTAGAAGATAATTAAATGCACTTTATTATTATGATTATTAGCTTCTAATTTGCACTATTATCAAGAAACAGGAGATGGTGAAAACTTGAGTTCTGTGGCATACTTGTTCCTCCCACCCCCTTGACCCTCAAATCAATCCTTTGGAATTAAAATTCTAAAATATTCCAAATAGTTGGGGGAAATGATGTGTATTGGAAACTGCAGTTCTCATACCAGTGTCAAAGATACTTTAAGAAAAGTTTTGACTTTTATTTGTGGGGGGTAGAGGGAAGATAAGAAACATCTGTTATAAACATTCTATCAATCTTGAGATATAGAATGTCATGTAAACACTCAACCCCACCCCCACAGTCACAAAGAGCCTGCCCAGAGCCTTCTTCCAAAGCAAAGATACCCCCCCCTTTTTTTTCCCCTTTCTGGACAAGTTTGAAAAGAAACCAGTCTTTTGTCAAAGGAAAACTAAAAATCCCACTGATCCATCAGTCCCCTCCCTCCAACCCAACCCATTTTTATTGCTTTTGAAAAAAAAGAAAACCCAAACAACAAAAAAAACAACCCACACATGACACACAAACCAACCCACAAACTGCTAACCTGAATGCCAGAGAAGATATTCGGTTGAAGGAGTGGGGGGAGCAGTCTGCAGAGGAAAGGGGAGAGATGCAAAGGCATCACCAAACCCCAACATTTGCGAACTAAATGCTCCCCCTAAAAATGGAAGCGGTCACATCAGTACTCAAGGGTGTGTGTGTGTGTGTTTGTGTGTGTGTGTGTGTGTGTATTTGTTTCAAAACACACTTCACAAAAGCACTTTCGGCTCACTCCAAGGGCTTGAGGCAGCGAGTTGAAAAGTCATGAAGGAGAAAGATCTTCCTGCCTGCAGGGGAGTGGGCCAACGGGGTGGAGGCCATTCCACACACGCTCTCCGCCCTCTCCCCACCACCCCACCCGTTGGGTTTTTGTTTTGTTTTGTTTTTTTTCCACGTCTTCATCTCCGTTGGGAGGGTTCCAAAGATTGAGTGAAGGAGACAGGACAAGTGTGGAGAGAAAAGGGGGAAGGAAAATAAAACAAGAATCCAACCAAGTCTTGTTCAAAATTATCCAACAGCTTCCCCAGGCCCAGCGTCAGTGAGAAGGCTCACCAATGTGGCTTTAGAAGCTGAATGTAACAAACCAGCCAACACCTCTTCCAGCTGGCCCAGGCCTGCCAAATCACCAAAAAATCCGAACCAAGGTGGGGGTTGGCGTTTGAAGGGGCACTGAGGAACAGCGAGACCCCCTCAACTTCCCCCCCACCGCCCTTTCCTCAGCCCCGGTGTCCCTCGCTGCTCCTTTTTTTTCCTTTTTTTCTTTTTAAATAGAAAATATATAATTAAATTTACAAAGACTATTTACATTTTTAATTACAAACCTGGTGGGGTGTTGGGCAGAGTTATCTTTAAAAAGCGACCTAAAAAAGAAATGGTTTCGATTGTTCTTTATTTAAAAAAATAAAATAAGGAGTCTGTAGGAGCCCCCCCGGGCGGAGGAAAGCGCACTGCGGCTCTGGCCTGGGGACACCCCCTCACACTGTGGTCTCGCCGTGCCGGCTGTTGGTGAGACGCGTGTAGAACTTCCTCCACGAGTGCAGCGTCTTGCCGGACCAGATCCAGAAGCCCGACGTGATGCCCACGATGAGCGTCATGAGGTATTTGATCATATAGACGGTGAAGTCGGGCGACATGCGCGGCGTGTAGTGCGCCGGGCACGGGATGGCCAGGCTCTTGCAGTGTTGGCTCACCCACGAGCGCTCCCAGTGCTCTCGGAAGGCCTGCTCGTAGAAGTAGCAGGCGATGACGATGGTGGCGGGCACCGTGTAGAGCACCGAGAAGACGCCGATGCGCACCATAAGCCGCTCGAGCTTCTCCGTCTTGGTGCCGTCGTGCTTCATGATGGTACGGATGCGGAAGAGTGACACGAAACCGGCTAGGAGGAAGGACGTGCCTATGAACAGATACACGAAGAGAGGCGCCAGCACGAAGCCCCGCAGCGGGTCCAGGCTGTTGAGGCCCACGAAGCACACGCCACTCAGCAGGTCGCCGTCAATCTGGCCCATGGCCAGGATAGTGATCGTCTTGACCGCCGGCACGGCCCACGCGGCCAGATGAAAGTACTGCGAGTTGGCCTCGATGGCCTCGTGACCCCACTTCATGCCCGCTGCCAGGAACCAGGTGAGCGACAGGATGACCCACCAGATGGAACTGGCCATGCTGAAGAAGTAGAGCATCATGAAAAGGATGGTGCAGCCCTCCTTCTTGGTGCCCTGGACCACCGTGCGGTAGCCGTCCTCGGAGAAGCGCTCGTTGCACACCACGCGCTCCTGGAGCACGAAGCCCGCGATGTAGGCCACCGACACCATAGTGTAGCAGCCAGACAGAAAAATGATGGGCCGCTCGGGGTAGCGAAAGCGCTGCATGTCCACCAGGTACGTCGTGACGGTGAAGAAGGTGGAGGCGCAGCACAGCACTGACCAGGTGAGAATCCAGAGGCGCGCGAAGCGCGTCTCCTCTTGCGAGAAGAACATGGAGCCATCCGGCCGCGCGGGCTCGCAGGGCGCCGCGCAATCGCGCTCGCCCAGGAACTTGTAGCTGAGATAGGACGGCACCTTGAGGACGCGCGGGCAGTGGAACGGGTGCTCCAGCGTGGCATAGCGCGGGGGCGAGCCGCCGCCGCCCGGGCCGCCGGGGGTGCCCCCAGCACCCGGCTGCAAGCCCGGCGGCGGTGCGGTGGTGAGCAGTGCTGGCGCGCCGTCCTCCGAGTGGTTCTGGCCCACGCAGATCTGCTCTGCACCATGGCGCGGGAAGTGCTCGCAGCGCAGGCGCTCGGGCCACTGGAAACCGAACTTGTTCATGAGTGCCTCACAGCCCTGGCGCGCGCGCTCGCAGATGGAGCGGCACGGCGGGATGGCCTGCTCCAACACGGTGCACACGGGTGCGTACATGGAGCACAGAAAGAAGCGCAGTTCGGGCGAGCACTGCACCTTCACCAACGGGTAGAACTGGTGCACCTCCAGGCCCGCGTCCTCCTGGTTCGTATGGCCCAGAAGGTTGGGCATGATGGTCTGGTTGTAGGCGATGTCCGTGCACAGCGGGATGGAGATGGGTTGGCAGAAGCCGTGGTCCGGGATGGAGATGCCCTTCTCCCCGTGGAACTGGGCCGGCCCGGCGGCGGGCAGTAGCAGCAGCAGCGGCAGCAGCAGGCGGGGCAGGGCGCTGCGGGGCCGCATGCTGGCCGCCGCCCCCCACCCAGCTCCCGGGCGCCCCCCCGCCCCCGCCCCCAGCCCCGAGACCACGCTCCTTCCCCTCTGCCGCCTTGCCGCGGCCGCCGCCTCCCGCGCCTCTTTGCAAACTTTGCTTGCGGCCGCAGAGTTGGGGAGGCCGGGCGGGGGAGGGGGCGGCGCGCCTGCCCGCTAGCTCGCCGCGGTCGGACTGAGCTGCCGGAGACACCGCGCGCGGCTTGCCCTCTCTCCTCTTCTTCCTCCTCCTCTCGCCTCTCCCCTCCCTTCTCCGCCCAGCGACTCCTTTGTGCCTTCCTCCAGCCCTCACCTCGGCCTCTCCGATCCCAATTAGTCGGTTTCAAGGGGGCCCCCGCCAACGGCCCCGCCCTCTCTTCAGCCCCCCAAAAAAGGGAACCTTGAAACCGCCCCGTCGAGCTCTAAGTACCATCCCAAAATGTGCTCTTGGCCAATCAGATTTAAACCCCAGGACCAGCCCCGAGGGCTGGATTGGTCGACCACAACATAATGAGATCAGAAACCAGATGCCAACAAAACTTTCCCCCCCTCCTTTTGCTTTTAAAGAGACAAGCTATTATTATATTAAGAGCTGTTTGCCCAGCACGGGATATTTCTTCGGAGTCGCGGCGGTGAGATCCGGAGACACGCATTCCCCAGAACTGCCGCGGACCCAAGCCACTCAACCCTGGATCACTTTTCTTCCGGGGGCCAAGGCGCTCTCCAGGGTAGGGCCTCTTTAAATCCTTGCCTCCGTCCATGCTCCTCGAATCCCACCTATTTCAGTCCAATTTTTCAGATCAAGTGAAAAATCTCAAGTTAAAAACTTTTTTTAAAGAGAGAGACTTTTTAAAAAAACTAACAGTTCACAAAGATTTTTCTCTCAGTCCGTTCTCGTGGAGTCCAGACAAAAGTTTCACTTCATTCTATATGTAGACCCCTAGGAGTTTGCCTCGCCCCTCCCCCTACGCACACCCTTAAATAACCCTCTGAAAAATGAGAGCCTGTCTCTTTAAGAGGCTCTTAAAGGGGCCTGGACTCCGGGGCGTAATTGCCCCGTAGCGAGCACAAAGGAGCCCATTATGGTTCTTTGTGTTCGGTGGCACCTCAAAGTGAGAAAACTCAGGAACTTAGAGGCCCAGAGCTGGAGGGCTGGGCGGGGGTGTGAGAGGGGTGAGGTGGAGGAGAATGGTCCGGAGCTGCGGCTTCTCCCTCCCCCTTCCGAGGCAAATCTTAATTATGCAAAGTAAAGTTTAGTTGCCATAAAGAGGAGGTCTTAATCGAAGGTTAATGGTGGGGGGTGGGGGGTGATGGACTGTTTTGGGTGAAGAGATGACTTTCTTAGGCCGTTTGGGGGAATTTTCCTTCTCTCTCCCCAGCGCTGCCTCCGCCCCCTAAAAGCTTCCAGATATTGTCTCCTGGGAGAGAGGAGAGTTTTACCCAAATCTTAAGTGATTCCACGCCAAAAAGGGATGGTGTGAGTGGCGAGGGAGGAGGATGGGGGTTGTCGTGGATTACCACCCTCCCCCTATCTCTCACCTGGTTTGGGGTGGGTAGCAGTGGTCAGCAGGGTTCCTGCTAGTTTAAAAAGGTTTTCTTCTTTTTTCCCCTTCTCAGATTTTAAATGTGAGAGGGGAGTCTTAGGGGGAGAGGGAGGATTTGCATGTAAATCTCCTGGGCCTGGTACTGGATGATGGATCAATTATTTCTATTGTCTCTCCCTAGGGAAGGGGGGGGTCACTTAAAAAGAAGAAAGAAAATGGAGTTTAGAAAGACCCCTTGCTTCTCAGTATGGGCCAAATCCTCCCAGCCTGAAGAGCTGTTTCTTGCTCTGATCTAGAAAAGGGTTGCTTTACAAACAACAAAAAGAAATGTAAGAGAAAGAAAGAAGAAAGGAGTAGGGAGAAGGAAAAAAAATTCTGGGTGGATACATACAATGGATACAAGTTTGACAGGATTTGATTTTTTTTTCTTGATTGAATGATATACAGTACAGATTTTTCAGGTTCTTTATAATGTGAAAATGCTCCTTATTGTATCCTGGAGAAGTTGCCTTTTCATTACTTTAGGAAGTTTTCCTTCAGAATCAGGAGGATATGCCTTTGCTCTCCATTCCACCCATAAGTCCACTTTCGTCCCGGAGCCATCTGGGAATGGGAAAGTTATGCTCTGCTGCACTGCAGGGCCCAAAGTAAGCCTGAGGTGCTGTTCCTTAGATCTCCCCTCCTACTCAACCTCCAGGGCATCCTTAGAGTTAGTACCAAGCCTCAGAGCTAAGCAGTGAATACAAAAATGAGTAAGATAGGCTTCTACACTCCACTTAGGAAGCTCAGAGTCCGATAGGAAATTGAAAGCAAATCTCTAATGGGAAATGCAGCATCTTCTATTTCCTTGCATGACAAACCTGTTTTCCTGCCCTAAGGTCAGGCTTGAGTGACAGTTATCCTTCCCCAGCCTCCCCCAAGGCAAAGGGAGAGCTGGAGCTGGAAAAAATAAAAGACATTCTTTCATTCACTCGGCTTTCACACCTTCAACACACTTTTATTGGGTTTTCTGATTTCAAACCACTGTGGTAGGTGCTGTGGGTCGGGACATAGAGGAAAATGGCAGCATACAGTATCCCAGAAGAAAGTGTGAGGACCCAGGCCCAGACCCTAGGCCAAGCAAGCTATACCTTAGGCCAGACAGGCTCATTTTAGACATTCCCCTGCCCTAAGGAATAAGAAAAAGTCACACTCCAGCTGAGCATAGCAGAACATCCTGTTAAGCTAGCAGGATGTAGTTATAACTAAAAGTAAAAGCTCTTCTTCCCAAGAATTAGGTTACAACAATAGATTATTTTACAGATAACTCATTTTCACACCTAGCTCAGGGCGTTTTGCAAGAACTAACTGCTTTTTTGCTTCTGTACACTTGCTTCTGCTCAAACTCCCGGAAGTAAAGTCCCTATAAAACTTCCACCCACCAAGACCTTGGGGCGTTCTCCTCTTGCAGAGGGAGGCTGTCGCCAGGCTTGGCTAAATAAAGCTTTTGGAACGAAAAACTCTGTCTTTCAGGTCTTTACTAAAGAGCGAGGACCTAACAAAAGTGATTCCATGAAGATCTTACATTTATCTAGTATTTTTACATGAAATAAGAAACCACGATATTTCATGATTACTCTTGTCCTGCATGTGAGGGACTTGAGGGTGAACAAGACCAGAGCCTGCATCTTCAGACTGCAGGCCTATTCACCGCACTTTCCACTTTGCCAACCGGCCTTTTAATTAAAGCAGGTCTGTAACTAAAGGAAATTAACAGACTCTTTAAATGCTTCATGATGTCATTTGGTAGATACAGCATTTAGTTCTGATACTTTTTTAAAAAATTTTATTGTGGAACAGCCATGGTCATTGGTTACACATTGCTTTCATGCTACAATGGCATAGATAATTCTTTTTAAGAGGGCACAGCTCATAGTGGCTCATGCAGGGATCGAACCGGCAGCCTTGGTGTTATCAGCGCCACGCTCTAACCAACTGAGCTAACCAGTCACCTCTGATACTTCTTTTTTAATTAACTTGAACATTGACCTGGACCTGATCCCTAACTACCACTAGCAGCATGGTCTTGGAACAGTCATTTCACTTCTTTGAATCTGTTTCCCAATCACAAAGTGGGGATAAATCAACAGATTTTTAAAAACATGAGATTACACATCCAAAATAATTTCTGAAGGACAAAAATGTCATAACAGTTATAAGGCACCCTTCAAAACAAAAAGTTACCTGAATTAATTTGCTAATATTCATTCAGCAAACATCGTTGGGTACCTAGTGTAATGGCTACCATTTATTGAGCTCCTGTTAAGCACTGCACATACATCATGTGTCTGCCTACAACGTAGGTGTTGCATGTTGTTTATGGGTGAAAGATCTGACCTTAGGTGAAACTTGTCCACTTTCTCAAGATCATATAGGAAGTGGCAGAGCTATGATTTAAAACCAGGGCTTGCTTAGCTCTTAAAGCTGTGTTCTGTCTCCTACACCACAAAGCCCCTAATGTCTATAAGAATTGTGCGCTTTTATGCACTTAACAAATATATGTTGACCACCAGACTGAACCTCTGTTTCTGTGGAGCTTATATTCTGGTGGGAGAGACTCACATCCATCAGATAGTCACTTAAATGGATGGAAAATTGCCACAGGATTCGGTGCTGTGAAGGGAAAGTCCATGGAGCTGGAAAAGCATAATGGGGCAGATTTCTGAGTTGGGGTGGGGGTGGAGGAGGCCTGTGTGGCTGGAGTGAGGAGTAAAGTAGGATGAGGAAAAGAAAGGCCAACAGGTATCAGACCCACAGGGCCCTGCAGACCATGTGTAAGGTACTAGGTGTAGAAATATGAACCCACAATCTCACGGTGGGGTGACATAGACAGAGTGGGCAGGGAGCACAAGTATACAAGTATTTTGGCCCTGTTAGAGCCCCATGTACACCTGGGAGAATGATGGCAGAGGGGGTTTTAAATAAGCAGGGACCTTCGATACCATGTACACAGTTTGGACCCTTGGAGATGGAGAAACACCGGAGTGTTTAGGGAAGGGAAGTGGTCACGCTTAAGTTTTAGAAAGTGCATTGGGACAACTGTGAGGAGCATGACTTGGCTGAGTCAGAGACACCAGTGAGGAATAGATTGCAAGAGACCAGGCGAGAGATGGTGAGAGCATGAACTGAGCTGTGGCAGTGTAGATGCAGAGGAAAGAGATAAGGAAGGGCCCAACCAAGGCTTCTGAATTAGATGGCCTGATGTCATTAACCAGGCTGAGAAATACAGGGACAGGGTAGATAACGACCACTGTCAAGCCAGGCCAAGTCTATGATATGTCAGGGGGAAGGTGCCCAGAACACAGGAGGCTGTTCTAACCTAGTGCCCAGGAGGGAGCTCTGGGCTAGATTTAAATTTGATACCTTTAGCCTATAGTTGGAGCTATCAGAATGGCTAATGTCACTTAGGGAAGGTGGATTTGGTGGAAAGACCAAAGCCAACATTTAAGGACCATGAGACTGTGGAGGAAAGAGATTAAATGGGCTGGCTGAGTGGCTCAGTTGGTTAAGAGCTTGCATGAGGTCTGAGCAACAGCGGTTTGATTCCTGGCCCAAACTGAGCTGCCCCAACAGGTGGCAGGGTGGCTCAGCAAAAAAAAAAAAAAAAAAAAGGAAAGATTGGTAGGGCTAGAAGACAATGTCACAGGCTTGTTATTGCTGGCATGTGAGCCTCAAGTCAGAATTTTATTTACCTCTGGGCCGGCCGAGTGGCATGATGGTTGAGAACTCGCTTGGGATGCCAGAGGGCCCCGGTTCGGATCCCACATATGAGGGCCAGTGACACTGCCCTCTACAGCTAAGATGCTGAACAACAGCTCAACCTGGAGCTGGGCTGCTGTGAGTTGCTGGCGACGGCATAGGCTGCAGTCCCTGTGGCAGTGGGTTGCCGTGGGCTACCGTATGTAGCCAGCAGCCAGCGTGAGCGGCTAGCAGCCGCAGTGAGCGGCCGTCCAGAAGCCGGCAACTGATCTGCCTCGCCAGGGAAGAGCGCAATGATGGTGCCAACTTGGGCCAGTGAAGCAGCGTCCTCCACAACTAGATTGAAGAACAAAACGACAGCAACTTGTCTGTTCCCCTTCCCCTAATTCCCCAGCACTGTTCCCATCCCCCCAATTACCCAATAAAAAAATCTTAAAAAAAAAAGAATTTTATTTACCTCATTTCAGTTGTGAGAATTAAATGATATAGCATGTGGCACTCATTTGATCTGATCCTAGGTTAAAAGTCTGGTAAATAATAGCTATTATTTTTACCCAATAAATTATTGAGCACCTACTATATGCAAAGCAGACAAAGTCTGCAGAGACCCAGGCTCCAGCTTCAGGGAGATTACTGTCTGAGGGACAACAGTCTATTGGCAAATTGGGCTGCTGTTCCACCTTGAGAAATATTTCTTGTTGGTCTTGGGCTCCTGCTGTGAGCTAGGAGCCTAAGTGTCCCCAGGGCACAGTGCCAATGCCACTTCTCCCCCAAAATCCTGGGGCACTACTGTCAATCATCTCTCGGCTTACAAATCTTATATATGGAATAATTGTTGAGCTCCCACTGTAAAGACCTACACACTCCATTCCGTGGGATGGTCTGCAGGAGTAGAAATCACAACCTGACAGAAGAGCAGAGCAAATGGCTGATGGAGAGGAAGGAAACCTGGTATGGAGCTCAGAATGTACAGGCTGCAGGTTTGGCTACGCCCCACACTTGCTGAGTAGCCTTAGGCAAGTCATTTCCCCCTCCTTAACTTCTGCTCCCTCATCTGTATAAGAGGATCATAAAAACATTGATTGATTTTACCTTTGGGCCAGATGTAGGGGGCAGTGAGAATAATGTTTGGATCATTGAAACTGTCCCTGCTTGATGCTACCTTGACAAGGTGAAAGGCTTGTGTGTTACAGATAAGTAAAATGACAACCAGTCAGTAATATCCAGCCCACCAGAGGCACGCTCAGGAAAGCACAGGGACTTCTCCCAACTAAGGAAACAGGGGGGCTCTGCCCCAGGCTCCCCCACTCTTATGCGAAAATCCTCTTGTCTCTGGCCTTTCACCTTTCACTTGCCAAGGGGATGAGCTTAGGTAATTGCACTAAGGAGGGGTCTCTGTCTCCTTGCTTCTTTCCTGTTAGAACCCCTTCCTTGCAGAGAAATCATCCTCCCTAGTAGGGTTATGGGTCCCTTCTTTGTTTCCCCAATCCTGGGTCGGTCAGTATTCTTTCCTTCCTGAAGCACTGATGTTTCTCCATCCAAAAGGGGGAGGGGTGTGTGTGTCTCTTTAGGTGTGGGAGGAGTGAGGAAGAGAACCTCTTTTCAGATACTTTGAGATCCTCAGAGGTTTTATTCTCTGAGTAGCAAAAATACTCTACTCTCAGTGGGGTAGGTCCTAGACCCTTTGTGGAAGACAGATTTGAGCCTTCAGAGAATCTAGTTAGCTGTCCCCTTCCCCAACCCACAAGGTGTTCCTCTGCTCTGTGAGAATCTTCCCTTTCCTGCTCTCTCCCTGAGACCCAGCTTCAGGTGAGATACCAAATTCACTCTCCCTGAACTCCATGCTCCATTTAGCTCTTAGGGAACCGGCCCTTAGAGTCAGCCACAGAATAATCAGGCCTAGGACTTCTACAGCCCCCACTTGTAGGTTCCCTACAGTGCAGCTCATCCCACCCCCTGCCAAGTTCCAAGGCTGCCCCTGGTTCTGGGGACAGACGGGGAGGGTGAAGTTGGCAGAGTACAGTTCTTATCCCCTTTATCTCTCCAGCACCCTTCTCCAAGGTCTCTTGTTGGCAAAATGGGCCATAAAAGGATTAAACAGATATAACAGATGATCTATTAATTAAGGACTCTAATTAGCACAGGCCTAGGCCCAGCAAAAGCAAGGTGTGGGCAGACTGGGGAAAACAAAGCTGAAAAATCAGTGCTGAGTTTGTTAGTGAGGTTCTTAGGTGTGACTGTGCTTTACTGGCCCAGGAAATAAGTGTCTGTGGGAATGAATGAATGAATCAGATATTTTGTTTCTTGGAACCTTCTAGAACCTAATGCCAAGAGGAGAGGAATGGGAGAACTTGAATCCTAGATTTGTAGTTGTGGAGGGGTCCTCAGGAGTGGGGGTACTCACTGAGGAAGGAAGGCTGAGACAGGTTTGCTTCCAAGTTGGGGCTCCCCTCCTGCTCCAGCAAAGCACACACTTCCATTCCTGGCTGCACTCCATCTCCTAACTTGCTCTTTCTTTTCCCTCTTTCTTTATCTTTCTTTCTTTCCATTCTTCCTTGTCCCCTTGGCTTCTCCCAGAATTTCTCTCCTTTTCCTCCAGGCTGGGCCACCTCACCCCCTCCTCTTTCTCTTTCCTGTAACTTAAGCTGTTGTTGGGAGTTGGAGGAGCTGGTCTGGTTTGAAAGGAG